TTTTTTTTTTTTTTTAAAAAGGCAGTTTCACCTTTTGGGATGAGCACTGGGTGTTGTATGGAAACCAATTTGACAATAAATTTCATATTTAAAAAAAAAGGCAGAGTTTGAGCAGTAACAGGCCACGTTAGTGAAACTTCATGCCTAATTGTATTATAGATTTTTTTCTCTTACATGAGGTTGGATGTTGATCAAATGGCAATGGCGACATTTGAAGAAGCAAAGGAGATCAATTCTCAGTACTAATTCAGGTCAGGGTTGGGCACATATTGGAGAAGAATGAAATGGAAATCCAGTATAGTCTTCAGGGAAGCATAGTAAGCTGATGTGGCCTCTCTGTCCTCCCAGAAGAATGGCTTTCCCCCATTTATCTCACAGGCTGGGATCCTGTTCTGACACCACTCAGCAGTGGGCTTATTTCTTCTCAGCCCTTGAAGTCAACCAGTCCGTCACATGCCTGAACCTCACAGCAAATGAGCTCCTGGATGAGAGTGCCAGGTTGCTGTGCAAGACTCTGAGACACCCCAAGTGCATCCTGCAGAGGCTGTCGTAAGTGCTGCCTCTGTTCCCATGGAGCATCTCCACACTAGGTCTGGGGCCACATAGGGAACAGCACTGGTAACACCTGGATTTGCTGGGCGACCCATATGGGACTTCCCCCTGACATAGACCCCCTAGCTCCCAGTTTTGGTCCCAGGTGGACAATTCAAGCATCTTTCTTGCCCTTCTCCCATTCCTGGTCCTTCGGGCTTTGATCATGAGCACATGTTATAGGGGGTGCTGAATTAACAAGAAGGGATGTCAGCCAAGAAGGCTGGGCTTTGGAAATGTTCTCACGGTCTTGCTACTTGTGCGGTGCTTTTGCAGGTTAGAAAACTGTCATCTTACAGAAGCCTGTTGCGAGGAGCTCTCTTCTGCTTTGATCGTCAACCAGGCGCTGACGTACCTGCGCTTGGCCAACAACAACCTTGGGGATGGTGGGGTGAAACTTTTATGGTGGGGGTCTGAGTCACCCTGTCAACTACAGAACCTGGTTTAAGTCTGTGTGTGTGCGCACCTGCATTCAGGTAGGACAGATAGGAGAGCACTTGATGATTCTACGTGAATGAAATTGGCGAGACCCTGGTACACATTAGGGAAAGGACAGGTAGAAACAGATAGGAATATTCGCATGCCTTTCAGAGCAGGGCTTACCTTCTGACCTCTTCCTATGTCGGAAATTTGGGATAGACAGTTGGTTCTCGGGTCTGATGTTGTGTGTAGGTTTTTAAAGTCCACATGACCTACTTGTTCCTACAACTGTGAAGGGGTTGAGTTACGTGGTAGGGTTCAATACTTTCTTTCCTGCAAATGGCTAGATGGCAAAGATTTTAGACTTTATGGGCCATAGGGTCTCTCTTGCAAGTATTCAGCTGTGCCATTGCTGAGTTGAACATGTAAGGAAATGAAGTGTGGTTGTGTTACACTAAAACCTTATTCACCAGAAACAGGTGGTGGGCTGGATTTGACCCATGGGCTGTAATTTGCTGACCCTTGTTATATGGGAATAATCCCAGCATGGGATACCTGTTCCCATTAGAAGCATAGTTAGGGTAACATTCACTTCTGTCTACCCATTAGCCTTATGGCTTCTAGCTGGATTAATCTAGGCTCTCCTTTAATCCAGATGTGCTCCAGTCATTTAAGACTAAAAAGAGAAAACAAGTTTTCGGCTTATAGTGGCATATAAAGAAAATGAAAAGATCTAATGAACACTGTTTAGGTAGGACATAGGAAGAACAGAAAATTCTACAAGGCTGTCTATGTAGTGACATCATGTCTTTATTTTTTTTAACTTAAAAAATTTTTTTTAATCTTTATTTTTGAGAGACAGAGAGACAGAGCACGAGCAGGGGAGGGGCAGAGAGACAGGGAGACACAGAACCCAAAGCAGGCTCCAGGCACAGAGCCTGACGCGAGGCTCAAAATCACGGACTGTGAGATCATGACCTGAGCTGAAGTCAGACACTCAACCGACTGAGCCACCCAGGTGCCCCGGACATCATGTCTTTAGAGTTGGCTTAGGCATCTAAACAAAAAATGTCCAGAGGCGCCTGGGTTGTGCAGTCAGTTAAGCATCCTACTTTGGCTCAGGTCATGATCTCACGGTTCGTGAGTTTGAGCCCCGTGTCGGGCTCTGTGCTGACAGCTCAGAGCCCGGAGCCTGCTTTGGATTCTGTGTGTGTGTGGGTGTGTCTCTTTCTCTGCCCCTCTCCTGCTTGTGCTGTCTCTCAAAAATAAATAAATGTCAAATTTTAAATAAAAGATGTCCAGTGCTCATTAAGCACTCACTGTGTGCGAGGGACTTTACTAAATTTTACAAAGATTTTTAAAAAATTCTTACAACCCATGAGATAGTTACCTTTATTTCAGATTTACTAATTGGAAAACCAACACTTAGCCACTTAGCTTGCCTGTGGTCACATCTATGTGGTAGGTAAAAAGCCCCCTCTAGAAACTGAAATGGCAAAGATCATTGGTTTAAGTACGTAGAGTTGATGTTGGACCAAGCCTCCACTTAGCCTACAAAACTCAATCTTATATTTTGTTTGAGTTCCCCTGCCTAAACTTCTTGGGTTCACCAATGACTTTAGGATTTCACATACTACAAAGCATGGTGTCTTTTGGTCTAGTTATCATCCCTGAACTTCAGGGTCTGTGGCCGTGGTTGCAATTATGCCATGGTTGGGGCACAGGGCTGGGACGGTTGATTACAGACCCACCTGTCTAAATGTACCATGTGGTCATCCTTCTGTGTGGTCTGGCCTCCTAGTCAGAGGGCTTTGTAGAAGCCTAAGCTTGTAGGAAAGTCTACAGAGTTTAAATGATAAACCCAGTCACTAGCTATCGGGAAACTTGAGCTTTTGGTACACCACAGTCCTGTTGGGATGATTTAAACACAAGCCATGAAATAAAATCTCTCTGTCTCTCTACAGCAAGAGTAGAACCCTGGTGGCCTAACCACGCAGAAAATGAATGGGACCTCAGATTCAGTCTTGGGTCTCTCTGACCCTAGAGCCTAAGCTCTTGACCTATAGGACATGCTGCTGTTCTAGGAACATCTGTATCTTAAGCATATGTCTGTGTCTGCATAATAAAAGGTGGCAGACAAAGGTCAGTTGAACCCTCTAACACTCAGGCAGGGTGGGCATGATGTAATGATTTCACGTGCACGTTTTCACGCGCAGGTCTGCCTGAAAGTCTGTAGCTCACAGTGGAAGGTGTGTGCTGTTGGAAGGAACAACCACTCTGCAGGGCGTTAAGTCAGAAGAATCCGACGGTCTTTGCAGGTTATCACGTTGCAACATAACCAGACGTGGCCGTAGACACCTCTCAAAGCTGCTCCAGGAAGACTCCCAGCTTAACAAACTTGCATCTGGGGTTCAGCCCCATAGCTACTGGATCGTGGTATCTCTGCGAGGCCTTGAAGAAGCCAAATTGTAACCCAAGATGTCTCGGGTAGGTACTCTGGCTCGTTTTCTAAGGTGCTGTGGAGATGCATAATCTTCCTGCAATAGTCTCTCTCCTCCAATTTAGGAGGCAAATCCCTGCAGAAATCCTAAGCACCCGGTTTACCTGTATTGACAGTCATTCAGAGGGCCTGGAGGAGTAGGCTAGAGGTGTGGACAGCCCCCAGTAGAGAGGGCTTCAGGGGCACACGGCTTCTGTGTGAGCAGGATCCAGTGAGCAGGACACAGTGGGCCTGCCTCAACTCGGTGACCAGGGGACCATGGATGGATACTGCCCCCAGGAAAGGCGGTGACTCTATCGACGGGACGGTAGGCTCCACACCACCTTCTCCCTCCCACGTCTCGGTCAACTGCATCTCACTGATGCAAAGTACTTTGCAACTAGAACCCTATTGGAAAGAGAATCTGGGTCATGTAACAGCTTCCCTGCCCTTGCGGAGATGAGAAAGTACACTGGAACACAGGGTGATTCTGTTTGACGTCTTGGCTGTACTGGAGAACTCCTAAAATTCCTGATGGTCAGGCTGCCTCCCAAAACTGATGAAATTTAGGGCAAGTGGAACCCGGCATCCAAGTCTTCAGAGGTATTCCAGACGATTCCAGTGTCCACAAACTTTGAGCTCCCTTGAATGAGACGTTGGGGAAGACGCTGAACAAGCAAATCCAGTGTCCACAGGTTAGGGTTGATCTTTTTTTGATCATGGAACGAGGACCTGGCATCCTAGCCGAGGTATTGAACAGGGGCTCTGACCTCAAAATGGGGTTCAGATGCCATCTGATACTCATTGGCAGTGACGTCTGATGTTCCAATTTCCCCTTTATGGGATGCATGATTCTATAGGATTCCTCCTCACAATTTCACACCTAACGCATTTATGGAGTTACTTTGTGGGCTCATCAACCTCGCGATAAAGTTTCACGCAGCAGGCACGTGAATCCATATTTATTACAGAATCTCAGAGTGTTCCCTGTGACCAAGGCTCTTTCTGTCTACCTTCATCTCAGGCTTTTCTCCCCAGCTTGGGGCTCATCTTCAACTGACTTTTCAGTTCCCAGAACACACCCACCTCCTTCCCACTGTGCAAAGTCTTTGTTCTTACTCTTTGGTTTCCTTCGTTCTGGGTCGAGCACTCAGACCCTTCAATTTGCAGAGATATCTGCTAACATTTCACTTCTTAGTTTGGCTATCATAGGGGGCAACAAACTAGTTTCGAGATCATTCCAGATCTCCTGATTATCCTACCATGGTACACTCTGTTCTCTATAAATTGTGCCATTTTCCCAGTCACTGGGTCTATAAGTCTCTTTAAAAATGTGTATTTTTGTCAGGCACGGAGTTTGTGCATATGTGTGAGTAGGGGAGGGGCAGAGAGAGAATCCCAAGCAGGCTTTGCGCTTTTAGCTCAGAGCCTGACATGGGGCTTGAACTCATGAACTGTGAGATCGTGACCTGAGCCAAAATCAAGAATTGGATGCTTAGCTGACTGAGCCACCCAGCTGCCCTTATAATTTGTTAAATTGAAAATTCACACAATATAAAATCCGCCATTTAAAAGTGCATAACTTGGTGGCTTTTGCTATACTTATTATCTGTTTTGTCACCCCAAATGGGGACTCCAGAGCTCTTGGCCCCTGGTGACCACACATCTATTTTCTGTCTCCATTCTATACCTATCTTGCTATCCACATACAATTCGGCATATTTCGTATAAACAGAGTCCTACATACAGTAAGTAGCTTTTCGTGTTGGGCTTCTTTCAGTGAGTATGATATTTTCAAGACTGATCTACACTGGAGCAGGTATAAATCCTTCATTCCTTTATATGGCGGAACAATATCCCACTGTAGGGATCTACCACAATGTGTTAATCCATTTATCCATTGTGAGTTTTATTTCCGAGGGGGATGCAATTTATTTCTTGTATCTGCAGTGCCTGTTACAGCACCCGGGGCAGCAGAAGGATGGTTAGCGATGTGGGGCATAGACGTGCAGAGGGTACAGAGCTCAAGGGTACGCGGCTGAGGGGGCAGTCTGGCTTGAGTCAGCCCCCCTGGGCTCTTTATAAGCTAGCATGAACCGTATCAACCACAAAGGGTCCCACCCTCTGTTTCCCACTGGCAAACGCATCTTTTAGCCTAGGAAGAGCTCTAGAACAAGGAGGCGAGGAACGGAGGCGATGTTCACATACCACGCCTTACTGAGTATAACTGATTCACTGGAAAGTCTAGGAGAAAACAGTCCATCTCTTCACCAACTAGAAGGCTTCTGTCCTCTTCTTCATCTGCTTTCCTTTCGCACCTCACGTTCATTTTGAGACCCCTCCTTCCAGACACCTAGCACATGACCATCGACGCCTCCACTGCTTAACGTTCGCATCGAGGCCACCAACTCTCCCGTGAAGTGTGGCACGATCCCTGAGATGGTCCTTGATCTCCTGAAGTTTGTTCTCAACCCGTCTCCCTGAAGTACCTGTCAAGCTTCAAGCCAGACCACGGGCAGCTGTTTCAAAAGACCCAAAAGCTCCTTCCCTGTGCCACTGCAGGTCAAATCTGAAGGTTTTTCCAGGAGTCTACAAGACCCTCCCCCAGCTTGGCATTTCAGCTACAGTGAAATTGTATCAGTGGCTTAGGTCCCCCACTCACCATAATGGCCCACTGTCCTTCTTTTACTTTTTTTCTCCTATCATCTTCCCAAAGAGGGATTCACCAACCACCATAAAGCTACCGAACGCTTCTCTGGCCTAGATGACCCTAATCCTGCTAACGTGGCTTCTCTACCACCATCCACTGTCTTCCACGTTCTGAGGGAAGTCTGATGTCACTAAAAGAAGCTCCATGAAGAAACTAATTTTTTTCTCTCCTATCTTCACTACTAGGTCCCCAGCCAGCAAAACAAGTGCATCTAGCAACACGGTAGGTTCTAAGTGAGTACTGACTGGGTCTCTGTGCTTTTTCCCCACAGGCTCTGTGGCTGCTCCATCACCCCCTCCTGTTGTCAGGGTCTTGCACTGGTGGTAGTCAGCGCCCAGAGGCTGGAAACTCTGGACCTGAGCTGGAATACCTTGGGGCAGAGCGGAATAATGATGCTCTTTGAGGCTTTAAAACAGAATAACGGCCCCTTAAAGATACTCAGGTTGGAGATGGATGAATCTAGCATGGAAGTCCAGAAGCTACCGAAGGATGTAAAAGACAGCAATCCAAATCTGACAATCGAAAGAAGTGATGTCAGAACCGCCAGATCTCCATGGTGTGACTTTGTCTTTAATACCCTGAGATCCTTCTTAATGACTACGTGTCTTAAAGGGGGTGATCTGAGAGCTCTAAGACCCACCATGAATGACCAGAGGGTCAAATGTTAATCACTGGGTCAAATAGGTACAATTTAGTGCTGGCTTTCCCTCTCTGGTTTCAGAGTAAATTCTGCACAAGTCACATACCAACTTTATGTCACAATGTCTATCTCACAAGGACACAAGTATAATAAAAGGCAAAGAACTTTGAGGTTGTACTTATATGCCCGAAACCTAACTTAGACTTAACTTTATACTTGGTATACTTTGTCTAGGAAGAAATATTACTAGTTCACCGATGGTTATGTTGGTTTCTTTCATTTTTCTGCCCTCGCTCAGGTATTTCTTGGCCAAATTAAAAATTGTTTAATGTTCATCTTGAGAGAGAGAGAGAGCACAAGCAGGGGAGGGGCAGAGAGAGAGAGGGAGGGAGGGAGAGAGAGAATCCCAAGCAGGCTCTGTGCCAGCACACAGACTGATGCAGGGCTCGAACTCATGAACCGCGAGATCATGACCTGACCTGAAACCAAGAGTCAGACGTTTTTTTTTTTTTTAATTGGAAGAATATTTTTATTAGAGTCAGATGCTTAACGAACTGAGCCACCCAGGCTCCTCTCTTGGCCAAATTTAATAGGTGCCTGATGGGTCTACATGATCAGTGTGGTATGTACCCTCCTTAGTCAGTTTTAGGATATTGTAAGCCAGAACTTTTTCTGTAAAAAGCCCGATAGCTAAAATGTTAGGTCACTCTCACAACGATTCCACTTTGCTATTGTTGTGAAAACAGCCATAGACAATTCATAAATAAATGGGCATGGCTGTGTTCCAATAAAACTTTATTTATAAAAATAGGCAAGGGGCCAGATTTGGCCTATGGGCCATAGTTTGCCAACCCCTGTTCTAATCTATACTAATACTTATGAAGTACAAATCTGGCCACATCATTGTTTTTAACCTTTCAGTGATTGTGTGTGTCTGTGTGTAATCAGACACATTGCATTAGAAACCACAGCTTTCCCTGTTACCACATCCCTATTGCTGATAACTCACAGACAGGGTGCAAAGGCCACTTTCGAACTTTCTTGAAAAAAAAATGCAGAATCACCATTTAGCACTAATCCCCAGGCACTGACAAAAGTGGGTGATCTATATCCTCATTTGATTTTTCTACCAAACTTAAAGTAGTCCAATCACATATCTCTAAGGAATGACAACACTGATATGGGGATGTTACAAAAACAGTGACCTACAGTTGGTGACTTAAGCAGAGAGCTTAAATAACACAGAACTGCTTCCTTTGGATTTAGGATAACATTTTGGTGAAGTTTTCTTCCCTGACATTTTCACGTGATGGATCTATTAAAAAATCCCAAATTTTTAGGGGAGACAAAAAGGTCTTTCTAAAGCCTCATTCTTGAAGAATGATTGCCTGCCATATAATTGAAAGCTGACAGGTGTTGTCCCTCAGCATTTTGGAGGTACCATTCAATGCTTTGTCCTTTATTGTGGGTTTTGGGATTTCTGCTAATTGCCGGTACTTTGTAGGTGATTATTCCTCTCATCCTGGCTGTTGTCGAGATGATCTCCTGTCTGCACACTGATTTCTTTTTAAAAACTTTAAAAAATATTTATTAATTCTTGAGACAGAGCACAAGCAGGAAGGGGAAGAAAGAGAGGGAGAGAGAGAGAATACCAAGCAGGCTCCGTGATGACAGCACAGAGTCCGACGCAGGGTTTGCACCCACAAGCTGTGAGATCATGACCCGAGCTGAAGTCAGACGCTTCACCGACGGAGTCTCCCAGGCGCCCCATGCACACTGATGTTTTTGATAGGGATTTCATTTCCTACTTTTTATTTGTTTTATGCTGTAGGGATTCAGAATTTGGGGGGAAAAAAACCTCAGCTCAGCCCCTTTATCTCTTTGTGTATTGTCCCCCTTCCAAGTTCTAGATCGTCTCCTCGTGTCATCTTTTAATCTCTCTTGTGCATTTTTCTCTGGGCTGTGTTGTGGGTTAAGCATCACAGCAGTTCGTTGAAAGAGAACTAGTCAGCCAGAAGTTAAAGTCCACAAATTAACACAGGATTCTTCTTACTATCTCAAGGGTGGAAACAGCAGTGGCTTAATTTAGCAACTCAGTGGTACCAGGAAGGACCTGTTTTTTTGTTGTTGTTTGGTTGTGTTTGTTGTTTTAACTATTTGGCATGACCATCTTATCAAGATAAATCTGCTCCAGTGTTCAAGGCTGCTGTAGTATTGGGTGTTCCACCCAGCAGATACCAGTTTACAAGGCTTCTGCATAACTGTGTTTACTGGGGTGTGGACAGACAAGGATTTCAGGGAAAGAGGCCGTGGAGGATTTGCAGCGGGCTCAGGATAAGTGATCAAGTTATTGGAGGCAGTGCTGAGTCAGAATCCAAGTTTCCACTTGGATACAGGGCCTTTAAAAAAAAAAAAAAAAAAAAGATACATTGTGGCAGCTGGTCGACTGAACACATCTGGCTCAGACCCTGTGTTGGATATCGGGTATTTAAAATACGTTTTTTACTGAAACGTTGCTGCAGCCCTCCAAACGCCCCCCAAAAGGTCCTATTATCTTACCTATTTGTAAATAAACACGGTGGATTCAACGGTCCACTATGACATAGCATCTAAGAAGCAGACAGGCTTGAAACCAATGTTCGCTACATTGTAAAGTTTAGCTTCCTTTGTGCAGAAATTTAAAAGTCTTTTAAGGATTTGGGGGTCAAACAGCATAAAATTTTAGTGGTTCTCAGGAGTGGCTTTGCCACCCATGGGTCATTGGGCAACGTTTGCAGATATTTTTATTGTCACAACTAGAGGGTGCTCCTGGCATCTAGTGGGCAGAGCCCGGGGATGCTGCTGGACATTTACAAGGCACGGGACAGCCCCTGCAACAAAGAATGAGCCGCTCAAAATTTCAGTTGTGCTAAAATTGAGACCTTCTACGGGCTCTGCATTCATTACTACAGACTAAGTGTCCTCAACCAGGAGATACTTCGCAATGTCTGTAGACTTTTGGTGATAAAATACACATATCAAATTTACCACTGTCATCGCTTAAAAGTGTGCAATTTAGGGGCACCTGGGTGGCTCAGCTTATGCGTCCAACTTCGGCTCAGGTCATGGTCTCAGAGTTTATGGGATCGAGCCCCACATCGGGCTCTGTGCA